GATGCAGGGTGTTCATGAGTCCATGCAAGCGTGTCTTCCTTGATGCATTCGTGTTTACTCTGAACTAGTTTCTGAGTGGTATGGTTGATTTGTGTCTTTTTCTGTGTGTATCTGAGTGACGGGATGTTTGTGTCCATGTGTCTTTGTCTGTGTGTGTGATTCTTCCCTGGCCCCTCACTGGATCTTCCCCCTCCCCTGACATACCCCATCTGCTAGCACTATTTACTGCAAGGAGGGCTTCCCTTCCCGCCATCTGGATTCCCATGGATCAGGCTGCCTGCCCAGGGACCTGCCTCTGTGGCCTTTGTAGTAGGCCTGACCTTGAAAGTGACATTCTGGAAATCCCCTAATATACTACTTGCTTGGCCACTAGCTGAGTGTTTATAGTGGAGGAGAAGGACAAGGCAGGAAAGGGGGGCAGTTGGCAGCACCCACCCCTCCTTCTGGAAACAGGATCTCGCTGGCCCCTTCCCAGGCCCCCCTCTCCCTCCCCATGCTGTCCCAGAGTCCCAGCCTCACTGTCTCTTCTGGGCATGAGAATGCACAGACCTCTGCAAGCCTGGTCAGCCCTGTCAGACATCTGGACCTTTGTGTCCCCAAGCATTTTACATGCCTGCATTGTGCTTACCTCTCATATTCCCACCTGAGCTCAAGGAAGTCCTTCCTTGTCTTCTGTCCCTGCAGTGGACACAGACACCATTCTGGCTCTTCCATCTATGACAGACCTGGCCCAGACCATGGGCTCCAGAGCCCAGGCAGAGCATTTGGCCTTGGTTGGCTGGTTAGGCAGCAGAGGCCCAGCCACCTCCCACATGGTGCAGGAAGCAGTGTCTCCATGGAGTCTGTTCCTGTGCTCATCCTGTCTTCTTTGCCCTCTCTGCCTGGGCTGCAGTGAACAGATACAGAAGCAAAGCAGCCACAGTCCCTGTCCTCAACAACTCACTGTTGAACAACAATGATGTTGTGGAAAAGCCATCCACTTCCCACTGCTGGTGGTCAGTTGCCTGAAATTTCCTCCAGCCAATTCTGAAGTGCCCTTCTGGAAAGCCCAAGAGAAGAGCTCTAGAAGATCACAGCTATTCACCATGACATGATGTTACCTAAGTGTGCCAGAGGTGAACCGAAAGATCCCAAGCAAACACTGATGTACTCCTAGCATCTACCCCCAAATCCGAAGTAGTAAATTCCTTTTTTTTCTTTTTGAGATGGAGTCTGTCTCTGTTGCCTAGGATGGAGCGCAGTGGCACAATCTTGATCTCAGCTCACTTCAACCTCTGCCTCCTGGGTTCAAGTGATTTTCCTGCTTCAGCCTCCTGAGTAGCTGGGATTACAGGTGTGCAATACCATGCCTGGCTAATTTTTGTATTTTTAATAGAGGTGGAGATTTCATCACGTAGGTCAGGCTAGTCTCAAACTCTTGACCTCAAGTGATCCACCCGCCTTGGACTCCCAAAGTGCTAGGGTTACAGACATGAGCCATCGTGCCTGCCCTGAAGTAGTAAATTCTTAAGTTCATACTCTACATGAGAATTTTGCTTCTTGTCTCTCTCCACCCTGGGGAAGCTATAAGGTGGGGTTGTGCTGGGGTTATGGGATGGGATGAGCAAAGCTTCATCCGCCACCAGCATCCTGCATGAATCATAGGCTCTGACCCTGACTTCTCTTAGCTCTCAGCTTTGCTGAGAACTCATAATCCTGAAGGTATCAATTCCAGCTTATCCTGAAGGTATCGGTTCCAGCTCATCTTTGTCATGGGACTTTAGTTAGCAGCATGAGCCTATGCTGGCCCGAAGCAAGTAGGAGCCTGTGGGGAACCATGGGAGGGACTTGCTGTACCCTAAACCAGGATGTGTGCACACTAACCCCTGGCTTCCTACCTAATGCTGCTGTGACCCTCCTAAGTCCATTCCCTTCGTTCTGGGCCTCCCTCTATTCCAGCTGTGTGGCTGCCTGCCCAGCTCCCACCAGGCAGGGAGGATGTGTCTGTAACAAGACCTCCTTTGATTTTTGGGATGCTTTAGGAAAACACCACTTGAACGCTGGTTCAGCAGGCTTGAGCCTTGTGCCTCTCTGCCCTGGGGACCATCTATAGGCTGGATCCCCATCCTTTAGGCACAGGATCAGCATTCAGAGCAGGGACACATCCATGCATCTTCCCAACCTGGCTCTTCTGTATCCAAGCAGTGGACACATTGTGCTAAATGCTGAGGTCCTATCAGAGGAAACAAGTCCTGCCACTCCTCCTCCTAGTGATGGGATGGTGAGTGATCCTGAGTTTCCTTAGGAACCAGGGTTATCCCACTATACCTCAAAACATGTCATAAAGAAGCCACAGCCCTTCTTGCCCTTTCTCCAGCTCTTGGCTTCTCTGTGGTAGGTTAGAAGGGGAATGCAGAGATGCCACCTCCTGAGGGATAATAACTGTCCAAAATCGAGGTCTCTCCCATCTTCTCAGGGCAGCTTCTTTGTCTTCCTGCTTCCCAATCCTCTCCTCCCACCCATATAACCTCCCTGATCCCTCACTGAGCACTAGGATGCCACCCCTGACCTGTTTCTCCATCTTCAGCCCCATGCTCTTGCTCAGGCTCCATGCATTTAGAGCTTTTTTCTGTGATCTCTCCTGCTGGTACAGTGTTCCAAGAGCACCTGCTGCACAGATATCAGCGGCAGCTTTGATCTCCTTTTCACCTAGCTATGCACTCACAACCAACTCCTTGGGACCTAATAGAAACATTCCATGGTAACTTCCAGAATGCCTCTCCACCTCCAGCTTTCCAGCTTTCATTCCCATATCGTTCTTCCTTCCCACAGACATGGTCCCTTCCCAGCTCCTCACTCGTCCCTCTGGATCTGTGCCCATGCTTCCTTATATGTGGAGGAATTCTTTCTTCTCCTAATCCATGAAGTCCTCTCATTAACTCTACCTTCTCTCTACCATCAGTGAAGTTCTGCATTTTTAGCCAAAGCCAGCCTGTGAACTTGGGGACTTGTTTCCATTCCTTCCCTTCTGCACCACCACACTGTTCCAGCAGTTCTCCCCTTGAGCTCCTGCATCATTAATTTATTCATCTCAACTGTATGTTTTCCATTAACATCACCATGCTATGTCTCCAATCTTTTTTGAAAAGCCCTTTTTGGCCGGGCGCGGTGGCTCACGCCTGTAATCCCAGCACTTTGGGAGGCCGAGGCGGGTGGATCACGAGGTCAAGAGATCGAGACCATCCTGGTCAACATGGTGAAACCCTGTCTCTACTAA